AATTAGACGTTACCACCTGTTCACTATTTTTGGGTTTCGGTATTCAAGGGGTTGTACCTCATCTTAATTAGATCGAAGATACAGTATAATGCGGTCAGATGTCATCTGAAGATCTCATTCGATTGGAAGATTGGGAGGTCACTGGCGTTTGTGTACAAATGCAAGATTCTCGGAGTCACGAGCCAATTCAATAACGAGCACAAATTACTCCCAGGGTTGCTTGGAAATCCCGCGGGAGTGAAAAATGGAAGTTTCATTTTGTATTCCTATTAAAAATTTCTATATATTGGACAGACAATTAATTGATTGTGATGCGAGCATGCACAACTGTGCCCGTTCATTTAAAGAAAGCGGATAACATTGGAGAATTCGTATGGCATCAATAAATGAGATACACATTGTGAAATGAAAAAGATGTCGAGATATAGTGATGAACGGATGAAATTAAGATCATAGAGGGAATGACCGACCGCCTTTAGTAAGTCTTAACGCGGAAATGCGGTATGATGGAAAGCTCTGCGATTCTTGAATGTATCAAGTAAACAACAAAAGAGGCACATCAAAAGGGCACGACCGTTTTATTTACCATGAAACTCGTAGCAGAAATAACACACGTGAATCCAGTTCTAAGTTAATATGGACAATTGTTTTGCTTTCTATATAATAAATAATATTAATTGTTTTTTTTTTGTTTTTTTTGAAATTCATTTAACAAGAAATATTACTTTTAAAAAATATAAATTTTACTTTTTAAAAATAAATTATTAACTACAATAAATAATTTTGTTAATATCAATAATTCGCTTTATCAAATCAAAAATAGGTTTGCAAAATCATAAAAAAGGCAGTAAAAATGTATTATTTGATATAAATCATGTTAATTAAAATATAAAACATAAATTTAAAAATAAATTTTTATTTATTTTTTATTTTATACTATATATAATATACTTGTATACTTGTTTATAAATAAAAAAAATAATAAATACAAAATATATCAAATATATCAAATATATCAAATATAAAAATATTATTATTATTATTTATTTTATTTTATTTTGATTTTATTATTTTTAAATATAAAATAAATTTTTTTAAAATAATAAATAATTAATGATTGATTAAATTTATTTATATATCTCTTAAAATTAAATAAACAATAATTTTGTTTTATATAAAAAAATACTTATTTTCTGATGTTCAATTATTATTATTATTATTTTTTTAAACAGGAGACTTATACCTTGTTTATTAAATTTATTTCAAGAAACTATAAATTCGTTTTATACAAATTTTTTAACTCTATTTATTTAATAAACTCATTAAGAACTAATTCTATCATGCGGCTTATTGCCTGTATATTAGTATATACTTAGCTAATTTGCCAAGGTTCTACCAATCCCTATTAAAATTAAATTCAAATGTATAAAATATATTCCAATTGATCCAGTTTTCACTTACATATTCCATTATTTTGTCAACTCTAAAGATATATGATCTGTTTGTTTGTATATTTTTTGTAGATATTTTTCATTTGTTTTTATCTTGTTTTTCAATATTTTCAGCTTTTTCCCATTCTCCGAAATTTATATAACAGAATCTCCATCTTTGCTCTAACTCTTCTAAGAATCTTTCAAAGATCTTTTTTATGATTTGTTTTCTTGTTTCTGTTTCTATATATCATTTAATTATTTCGATTGTTTCTGTTGTCATTGCTCCTCTACATACAAAATTTGCTATTTCTTGTGTCCATATGTTTATGTGTTTGTTGAGTTCTAAGTTTAACTTACTTTTTAATTTTTCCTTTGTTCTATTGCTTACTTCTTCATTTATGATTTGTTTTAGCTGCTTTATTGGATCAGTTTTGTTTTCTATACATTACATTACATGTATATTGGTTTTAATTTCTTTTTTGCATCTAACATATATATCATCTTTATATGTTTTTACTGTTCTTTTATGAAGCTTGTCTTTAGTTAGCAATTCTTAGTTCCAAAGTTTCCATCTAAATGCTCTTTTGTTATAGTCTTCGATATTGGTTATTTCTGTTATAATTTTTGAAGAGTGTTTGTTTTATAGTGAATCTTTCCATACTATATTTTCTCTAATGTGTTGGTTGATTATTGTTATATTTTGATTTAATATTCTCCAATTTACTGTGTACTTTGCTCTTGTCATGTTTTTAGCTATTTGTGTGATTGTGTTATTTAGTATCTGTTCATTCCATTGTTGTGTCCAGTTGAACATCTGATTTTGTGTATTTTTAATTACAATTTCCTCTACTATAATTAAGTCATATGCTTTTTTTGCTAATTGGTTTGCAAGATTGTTGTTATATTTGTGGTTGTATGTTTTAACTTTTTTCCACTTGATTTATAGTCTTTGGGTCTTGATTATGTTTAAAATGCATAATATTATATGGCTGTTTTTGAGTGTTCTTAAGTTTCTTATGTCTCTTTCTACTTTATTTATTCCATTTAGTGCTGCTTGACTGTCACTGCAAATTGTGATTTCACTATTAGCTGGGGCTGTTGTTATTGCTATTGCAATTGCTGTGAGTTCTACTCTTGTTAAAGATAGTATTGCTATAATTCTATCCTTGAAATTGATGTTGGGAATGTTTGTAATATGCCATCCGAAATCCATATTCTGATTTTGATTAAGTGATCCATCTGTGAAGTATATAATGTGTTTTAATTTTCTATTCTAAGTCTAATTTTTGCCAGTTCTGTTATCTTGTCTTGTGATACATATATGTGTTTTCTTATTATTATCCATGCAGTGTATAGGTGGTCTTATACGATTGTTGGTAGTGGTAAGAGGTTGGATTTGTTGAAGTTGTCATCAATTATATTGTTAATGCTGTTGGATATAGTTCTTATTATGTACTGCAGTTTATTGTTTGATATATCTCTGATACTTGTTTAGCTTTTGTGGACTAGTATACATATTGTGCTATTTGCTGCCTCTGTAAAACTGTATTCTCCTTATTTGCCTTGTGTATCATATTTGCAGCCTGGACATTTTGTTAGAAATGAATTGTTGTTAATTTTATTGTAGTGTTGTATTTTGATTGCATTGTTCTTGTACTTTTTCCTTCTTCTAATTATGTTTTTGTTGTTTCTCTTTAGTATTATCTATTTTATTTCTGCTGGTGAAAATTCCGCTGCTGTTTTTTGTCTTGATCTATATATGTTTTATGTTGTTTTTTTGTTATTAATTGTTTAGATTATTTTTTAGTTATTTTGGATTTCTGTAAACCATCTTGGTTTTCTTCAGTTGGATTTTTTATTAATTTGTGTTATTTCTGATCATGCCGCTAGTCTTGTTTCTATATAGTTAATAATTTGATAGATAAACATTATTTGATTCATTCTGAGTTATTTTCTGTATTTTGTATATCATTCTTCTCCTATTTTGTCTCTTTGATTGTTATATCTGTTTTTTTTATAATGCTGATTATATGTGTTTCTTATGTAAAGCCATGGTTTTTTAGAAGTACTTTTATGTTATATATAAGGTCATATCCTAATGATAGAAATGGTTTTGTTATTTTTGTACTTGTAATTGCTGATGTCAACCACCATCTATTCTATAGTTCTTGTAACCTTATTTTTGTTATTTTTCCCAATAAACTTTGATTTGTTATATACTTGTACCAATTGTTTGCATGCATTAGTACTTGTTTGTCCCAAATATGAAAAAATCCATATTCGATTGAATTGAGCAGGACTGTGTTTGGTGCGGTTATTGCCATATTGATTTTGTATTTATAGATTTTATTTAGTATTTGCATTAGTTTGTTGCTTTGTTTTTCAGTAATTATCATGTCTATAAGGAGGTACGTCACTGCCAGGATCCATACGTAATTGTGTAGATATCTGAGTTGTTTGTCTGTACTTGTTTTCCATTTGATTGTATTTGCAAATTTGAGTGTTTTGTCCTTGATTAGTTGTTTTTGGAAGAGTTTTGTATTATTGCTTTCAATATATATGCCCAGAATTCTCACAGTTTGATATGCTGTTAATGATATTATTGACTGGTTTTGAATAGTTATTGGTCTGATTTAGCTGTTGACTCAATTGCCAAAAACCTTAAAAATAATTGTATCTGACTCAATTATTTTATATGTTTTAATAGTAACTCAATTAATTGCATCAAATAATTGCATCAATTGTGTCAAGGATCTACCAATTTCTATTACATGTATAGTCTGATTGTTTCTTTTTTTATATTAATTGTGATGAGATTTGATTTGGTTCCATTAATATTAATATCGTTTGTATTGAAAAAGTTGGTGCAAGTGTTACAGAGTTCTTACATTTCTTCTTTGTCTTGTGCAATAAGTATAGTATCATCCATGAACACTATGCATATGATTTTTTGTTTTGTTAATTTTGATTTTGCTACTATCTCTGATTTGTGGTGTGCTGTTAATATATATCTATTGTGTTCTCTTATTATATAGATAATTAAAGGATCATAAAAGATTCTTCAAAGGAGTGGAGATATTGTGTCTCCTTGATCTATTTCATCTTCTACTATGTATGTTGATGAGGAACTGAATGGTGTTATTACTTTATTTTGTCTGTTGTCATATATATTCATTATGATGTTGGTGATTTTCTTTGGATATTGAATTCTGTTATTGCTTGTCTGAGTCTTGAGATGCTGACTGAGTCATATGCTTTTGTCATGTCTAGGCTCAATATCCATGCTGGTTTGTTGTATTGTTTTGCGTCATCTTGAATGGCTCTTAAAATGTGGATTGGTTCTTGTATACTGTATCCTGAAAGTGCTGTCCAGTTATATGATAAAAGAATTGGATTAGTTTTGAGTGTTGCTGTCAGATGGTCATTTATTATTTTTGTGAATATTTTTCTTGTCATTTTTAGAAGGGTTATTGGTCTTGTAATATTTATGTTGTTCTCCCAAGGTTTTGGTTTTGGTATCAGATATATACTTTCTTGTTTCCATTCGTTTGGTATTGTTTCATGTTTGAGTATTTGATTAAAGAGTTCTGCGAAATAGAAAAGAGATTTTGGAGTTAGTTTTTTAAGTGCTATATATGGGATTCCTGTAGGACTAGATACTGATTTTGTTGATCAGGATTTTATTGTTTATTGTATTTTTACGATTGTGATTGGCTTGGTTGTGTTTGCATATCACTGCTTTGAAATATGCTTAATTGGTTTGTACTCCTTGTTTCACATTGTGTTTGTTGTATCGATTGTATTTTGTTTTCTTGTCTATTCTTTAAAATGTTTGCTTAC